CTGTTCTAGTCCCTTGAAGTGTCCTGGATCTGTGGAAATATTTCATGCTTATACAATAAAAATACCCCTGCCAACTCTGACACCCCAATCTGTTCATTATTATTATTATTATTATTATTATTATTACATTTTTATACTGCCCATAGCCAAAGGCTTATGGCTAATGGAGCAGCATAAAACTCTAATAAATAAACAAATTACACAGCCAAACTAGTCTATACAGCAAGTATGTATTAACTAGTTTCAGTGTCCCCGTGTTTTCTCCAGCAAACATTGTGATGACTGACAGAAATTTGGTTGATCCCTGTTCCTTTCATATTTTTTAAAGCCAGGAAGGTGCACGTTTTCAAGTGAACAAAGATTGCCTGGTCTATTTTAAGAAAACTGGAGTTTGTTAATATCTCTCTTGGGGTTCTTGAGTCAGAAAAATTGTTGCCTGTGGCAATACAGATGCTTATAAACACTCAATGGCAGGCAAGAACAGCAACATTTGCCAAAGGCCCCAGCTGCCTTTGGAGTTCCCAAGAAATTCATACAATCTTATTTTGGAATCTATGTATGTGTTGCTATTAACAAAAATCATCCACTCCTTCTTTATAGTTTCAGTTTCAACAATTGGCCTCTGTGTTGTGTACTTATAGTTGTATATAAATCAGATATTGTCCTCATGTACCCATCCTTTAGAAAGGAAATGTTTTGGGGGTATATGTGTTAATAAAATACGAGGCTCAATGAATTGGAAAAGGAATTCTTGCTGGAATCCAAGACTGAATATTAAATGACTGCTTGATACTAAATTTAATAATGTTTTACCTGAGGTTGGATAACTTTAATACCATGTATGCCGGTAGCATAGTAGACAGGGTGCTAATGTAAATTGCTTGCTGAACAAGCTTAAAATTATTTGGAAACATACAGGAATAGCTAGGGGAGATGATGGAGTCAATTTCATTTGTTTAATTAAAGTAAGTGAACTGAAATCTGTAAGAGGAAATGTCTGATTCAGTGGTTAGATAACTAATTGGAAATTAGTTGTTAATGCTATATGCAATCTCTGATCAGTGTTGGAAATTTCCTGAGTCTGCATGCAAACCATTAGTGTACTTGGCGTTTATGGATATTATAAGCATATGGAACACAATACAATGTATTGCCACCTCCAGCTCAAACCTGATGCTTTGCTTGAGAACATGGAAGACCTGCCCCTTCACCTAGTGTTGTTGCACACCTAAAGGCTTCAACTGACTTTATCTGCAAACCATTGCATGTGCAAAGACTATCCCTATAGAATCATAGAAACATAGTGGGTCAAAAGGGGTCTCCCAGGCCATCTAGTCTGACCCCCGGCTCCAGCCAGCTCTGCTTATGACGTGCCTACTAAATGCATGTTCAGCCCATCCTTGAACACCCTCACGGATGAGGCTTCAACTATCTCATGTTTATTAGGAACCCTGCAGAATCAGGAATCCTGAAAATGACAGTTTCTCAAATTTTACATAAAGTATGCAGTTTTATGTAGATAGGCTCTGGGTGAATGAACATTTAGCTACCTTGAGCTGCCAGGGGTTCTCTGAAGTATGAAAACAAACCACTCACTTGATCATCTATTGGTGTGTGTGTGTGTGTGTTTCCCTTCTCTACACAAAAAGATTTGTATGATTTGAAGAGAAAAGAGAGGGGAGGCAAAGATTTGTGGTCAAACAAGCTGGTAAAATTGTTTGCAGAATGAAAGTCCAGGTGCAGACTTGGGGGAATCTTAATGACCATTTGCTCTCTGCTTAACACAGAAAGTCTAGATTAAATGCATCAGTATCTGAAGGACTTTTCCTTCCTGGTGACAAGTGGTAAAACTGTATGAGATTTTGGTTCCATCCAGGGCTACAATTCTATGACTAGATGAGTGCAAAACAAGAGATAGATCTGGAAAATCAGTAGCATAATTTCATACATGCGTTAAGTTCCTAGAACTTAGATGTTTCTAAGTTTCAGATTTGAGGATTTTGAGGATATATTTTTATATTACATGCCAATTAAAATGTTGAGTGGAGCAATATTTGGCAACATGTTATGTGAAGAAGAAATTGCTGCTACTTACAATTCAGCTTAATGTTTGTTTTATGTGTGTGTAATTAGTTAGGAAAACAAATTGGATGATACCTTCCCCTGCCATCCCCTCTGCCTCTCTTGCTCTTTCTCTCTCATTCTCTTTTTCACTTTCCCACTCTCTCATGAACACACACTTTGCTCGGTTTTCAAAGTTTCATTGTTTTCTACTCACTAAACAAATACTTATTTCAAAGACTTCAGACATACTGTGTACAAAATCTTATTTCTCTCAGCTCAAATAATTCAGCTCGAATTAAAATTCTATGCTATGTAATTCAGCCCAAATTTAAATTCTGATTCTGTAGCCATTGATAGAAAAGTCCCATGTTTGGTAGTAAACTGTATCTTCTTTTTCCTTAAGGGATAAAGTCAGTCTATCCATTTCTGTGCAGTCCAATATCTTGATGAACAGATACTTTTCTCAATGGTAGCTGTTAACTACCATTGCATGTATGGTATTTACATATATATATGGTAAACAGAATGCATGAATACAAGTGTTTCAAACTCAGATGAGCTATTTCAAAAGAAAAAAAGGAGGGGGTGGGAGGAAGAACCTTAAGGAATTTGCAAACCAGTATTTTATTAATGTGTTACAGCTGTGCAGAAATGTTTGACTGCAAATCAATAGAGATTGCATTCTTCTTTTCTAAGAGTGTTTCTCTTAAGATGTTCTCTGAAAATGTTTCTGAGCTTTAAAGTTCCTGAGAGGCATATTTGTACACAATGAATTCTAATATACTCATACAGGTAGGTTATGTCTACTCACACCTGCATTGCTAGATAAGGAACTCAGGACACTCAGTTCATGAAAGGCTCAGCTACAACAGAAAAAGTTCTCATGCTCCTTCCTTCATATATTAGGATAGAATATTTAATATGTCACACAGCATCTATGATGCTAATTATCACCTGGTCTCATTTACCATTCTTTCCCTATGCCCAGGAGACAGTGAAATTCCTTTTAAAAGCAAAATCAATCCCTACCTCAGAGGTTATGACGTTTGGGAAAACATCTCTAAACACAGAGATGATTGTCTTGATCAGCAAAATGTGCAAGTACAAAGACCATTGGTGTAGATTCTTGATATTCTGCATGAAACATATCTTAAGATGAGACCTGCTAGTTGGTACAGTATAAAATGCTGACTTTCAAAACCTATTCCTTTGCTTTTTCCTTGAAAGGAACTAAGAATTAATTGACGCAATCTTGTTAAAGGTCTGTCAGCAATTCTCTTATAAACTATTTAACATTTTATGCCCTGAATACCAATCACATTTGGTTATAAGCTGACATACAGAAGACTTTGGAAGAAACACTTACCTTGAAGTTACTTAAATTTAACTGTTTTGCAGAGGTGCCTAGCTTGTGGTCTAGAAAACAGTCCTTCTCTATCTAATATATGGAAATATTTCAGGTAAGTATTAATCAGTTCAGATTTGCTTTGCAAGGGCTAAACATAGGAGGAATAAGGCAATTCCCATTCCATTCTATTAATTAAGTCTTATTTTGAGATTTTGCCAATGGTTGCTAAAGCTTATGCAGTAGCAGAGCCAAGCATTTCTAAGACAGCAATCTTAAATACAGTTATTAAAGAATAAGAACCAAATTGGGCATTTTTTACCTTTCATTCAGGGTGGGTATGGGGGACGGCCCATACTGAGACCCTAGGATGGTAGTAGAAGAATGTAAACATATCCAGATCAGGGTCCCCACATCTGCCACCATGTCTATTGCAAATAGTGACTCATCTTCATTGAAGATTCCATTTAAGTAATGTCTAATCTTGCCCTAAGTCCTGTTGAACCTAATGTTAGGGGACAGAAAACTGATTTGAAATTGGAAGCAAGATTTTCTTGCACTCAGCATGCACAGGATTGCACTGAATACTGATCTTGAATACCTGAGTATTCCAGATCAGGGCTGAAACAGTATAAGACAGATATTCACATTTTAATTTGGAAGCAAATGCAAACTGTATTTAAAACAAAATTACCAGACCATAGAATGCTGGAATTAGAAGGGGCCATGAAGTCCATTGGGTCCAAGCCCCTGCTGTTGCAGGACACCAATATACACCATCCACTCAGATGGCTGCCCAGCTTGCTCTTGAACGTCTCTACTGTGGAAAGTCCATGACCTCTTTTGGCAACTGGTTCCACTCTTGTATTGCTCTGATAGTGAGGAAACATTTCCTGACATCTAGCCTGAATCTGGGTTGTTGCAACTTGACTAGATTATTCCGTGTCATGCACTCTGGTATCAGTAAGAAGAAATCTTGACCTTCCTCTTTGTGACAGCCTTAGAAGTACTTATAGAAGACTATCATGTCCCCCCTCAATCTTCTGTTCACAAGGCCAAGCAGGGGACAAGATCGCACCTACAAGTTCTTTAACAATCCTATTTTGCTTTGGGTGCAAATCACAATATAATTGAAAAACTGTTGGATTATCAGATTCTAAAAGAGGATCGAAGACATTACACTTGGAAAGAAAGGAAAGAATTGTACAGCAACTAGATCTCACATTAAGGACCAATCTATTCCTAGACAATAAGCAACTGCTTCTCAAAGCAGCTGAATCTGAGATCCAAAACACTTACTAGAGAGTGAGACCCACTGCATGCAGTGATTGGGTTAAGACTCTATGATACTCAAGAGCTGAGTCTACACTTAGTATCGGTGGCCATTGAACTGTGGGTTTTTCTTGAAATGTTGGGCTAGTGTGTTGTGTTAACCCAGCATCACTGACAAACCATGGCTTGTTAACCTCAAACAACCTATGAAGAGGACACATGGCTTTTTGCTGAGTTGTAAATTTTAAGTTTTCTTTCATGGATCGCAGCCCTGCCATGGTGAAGGGGCTTGCATAGTGCAATGAAGCTATGGGCTATGCCATGTAGGGGCACCTAAGACAGACTGGTGATAACAGAGAGCTCTGACAAAAGGTGATCCACTGGAGAAGGAAATGGCAACCCATGCCTGTATCCTTGCCATGAAAAGCCCATGGACAGTATCAACAGGCAAAGAGATAGGATGCTGGAAGATGAGTCATTCAGGTCAGAAGATGTCCAATGTGCTACTGGGGGAGAGCAGAAGGCTAGTGCTAGTAGTGTCAGAAAGAACAAATTGACTGGGTCAAAGCCAAAAGGTCACTCGGTTGGAGATGTTTCTGGTGGTGAAATGAAAGTCCAATCCTGTAAAGAACAATACTGTATAGGAACCTGGGATGTAAGATCTATGAATCAAGATAAGCTGGATGTGGTCAAACCTGAAATGACAAGACTGAACATCAACATCTTGGGAATCAGTGAACTAAAATGGACAGGAATGGGGGAATTTAACTTAAATGACCATCCGGGATACTATTGTGGGCAAGAACCCTTCAGAAGAAATCGAGTAGCCATCATAGTCATTAAAAGAGTAAGAAAAGCAGTACTGGGGTACAATCTCCAAAATGACACGATCGCAGTTCAAATCCAAGGCAAACCATTCAACATCACAGTGGTCCAAGTCTATGCCCCAACTACTGATGCTGAAGAGGCTGAAGTTGATCGGTTCTGTGAAGGTCTACAACACCTTCTAGAATTAACACCAAAAATGATGTCCTTATCATCATGGAGGATAGGAATGCTAAAGTAGGAAGTTAAAAGATAACCGGAATAATGGGCAAGTTTGATCTTGGAGTAAAAAAGAAGCAGGGCAAAGGCTGGCAGAGTTCTTCCAAGAAAACACGCTAGTCATAGCAAACACTATTTTCCATCAACCCAAGAGACGACTCTACACATGGACATCATCAGATGGTAAACACAGAAATCAGAATGATCATCTGCTCTGCAGCCAAAGATGGAATATACAGTGGAGGTGACAAATAGATTTAAGGAATTAGATCTGATAGACAGAGTGCCTGAAGAATTATGGATGGAGGATGGCAACCTTGTACAGAAGGTAGCAACTAAAATCATCCCAAAGAAAAAGAAATGCAAGAAAGCAAAAGCAAAAGCAAAATGTCTGTCTGAGGAAGCTTTAAAAATAGCTGAGGAAAGAAGGGAAGTGAAAGGCAAAGGAGAAAGGGAAAGATACACCCAATTGAACGCAGAATTCCAGAGAATAGCTAGAAGAGATAAGATTGTCTTCTTAAATGAACAGTGCAAAGAAGTAGAGGAAAACCACAGAATGGGAAAGACTAGAGATCTCTTCAAGAAAATTGGAGATATGAAGGGAACATTTCATGCAAATATGCATGATAAAGGACCAAAATGGCAGGGACCTAACAGAGGCAGAAGAGATTAACAAGTGGCGGCAAGATTACACAGAAGAACTATACAAGAAAGACCTTAAAGTCCCTGATAACCATGATGAGGAGGTCATTGACCTGGAGCCAGACATCCTGGAATGTGGAGTCAAATGGGTCTTAGGAAGTCTTAGTGATAAGAAACCTAGGGAGGAGACAGTATTCCAGCTGAGCTACTCAAATCCTAAAAGATGATCCAGTAAAAGTGCTACACTCAATATGCCAGCAAATTTGGAAAACTCAGCAGTGGTCACAGGATTGGAAAAGGTCAGTTTACATTCCAATCCCAAAGAAGGGCAATGCCAAAGAATGTTCAAACTACCGCACCATTGCACTCATTTCACATGCTAGAAAAGTTATGCTCAAAATCCTACAAGCTTAGGTTCCAGCAGCATGTTGTCCGAGAACTACCAGAAGTACAGGCAGAGTTTCGAAGAGGCAGAAGAACTAGAGATCAAATTACCAACATACACTGGATCATGGAGAAAGCTAGGGAGTTCCAGAAAAACATCTACTTCTGCTTCATTGACTATGCTAAAGCCTTTGATTGTGTGGATCACAACAAATTGAAGCAACAGTGAGAACTGGACATGGAACCACTGATTGGTTCAAAATTGAGAAAGGAGTTCGGCAAGGCTGTATACTGTCACCCTGCCTATTTAACTTATATGCAGAGCACATCATGAGAAAGGTTGGGCTCGATGAAGCACCAGTAGGAATTAAGATTGCTGGGAGAAATATCAACAACCTCAGATATTAATTAATTATTTTATTTATTTGGCATTTTTGTATGCCATCCCATTCGCATAAGCCTTGGGACAGCTTCCAACATTATAAATAAACAGTGATACAGACAAGAACATATAAAAACTGGATTCATCCTGGCTAGAAGATTTTAAAACCAATAAATAATATTAATGATTATTAAAATATTGTTTAAATAAAAAGTTCTTGGTCTGGCTCTGAAAAACAAATAACAGCGCCAGGCGGACCTCTGTGGGGAGCGCGTTCCATAAGTGGGGCACCACCACAGAGAAAGCCCTCCTCCGGATACTCACCCTCCTAATATCTTTCATGGAGGGTTCCCGGAGGAGGGCCTCTGCCTCCAATCTAAAGGGCTGGGAGGGCAAATATGGACATAGGCGTTCCTTTAGATATCTGAGTCCCAAGCCATTAAGAGATTTGTAGGTGATAACCAGCACCTTGAATTGGGCCCGGACTTCAATGGGGAGCCAGTGAAGCTGGTAGAGGACTGAGGCTATATGAAAATAATGCCCAGTCCCCGTCAGCAACCTGGCAGCTCTATTTTGCACCATCTGAAGTATCCAAACTGTCTTTAAGGGCAACCCTATGTAGAGCATGTTACAGAAATCCAATTGGGAAGTAACCAATGTATGTGTCTCTGTTGCCAGGCAATCGTTCTCCAGGTATGGATGCAGCTGATGGATCAGCTGAAGCTGAAGGAAAGCACTCCTCGCCACCGCAGTCACTTGAGCTTCCAAAGACAGCTCTGGGTCGAGGAGCACTCCCAAGCTGCAGCCCCTGTCCTTTAGAGGGAGTGCAACCCCATTCAGGACAAGGTCCAAGTCACCTACCCCGGAGCCCGAACCACCCACCAACAGGACCTCCATCTTGTCTGGATTGAACTTTAGTTTATTGGCCCTCATCCAGCCCATTACCTTGGCCAGGCACCAGTTCAGTACAGCCACTGCGTCACCTGGATTGGTAGAAAACGAGAGGTAGAGCTGGGTATCATCAGCATACTGATGATTCCACAGCCCACACCTCCTGATGACCTCTCCCAGCAGTTTCATGTAGATGTTAAATAGTAAGGGGGACAAAATGGAACCCTGTGGAACTCCATGGCATAGCTGCCATGGTGCAGAGCCATAGTCCTGCACCACCACCTTCTGGAATCGGCCACTGAGATAGGAGTGGAACCACTGTAAAGCAGTGCCTCCTACTCCCAATCCCGCTAGCCTATCCAGAAGGATACCATGGTCGATGGTATCAAATGCCACTGAGAGGTCCAGGAGGACCAACAGGGATGCACTCCCCCTGTCTCTCTCCCTGCACAGATCATCGTACAGGGCGACCAAGGCAGATTCAGTACCGTACCCGGGTCTGAAGCCAGACTGAAATGGGTCCAGATAATCAGTCTCATCCAAGAGTGCTTGGAATTGTCCCACCACCATCTGTTCTAACACCTTGCCCAGAAACGGGATGTTGGCCACTGGTCTATAATTGGCGGCCATCTCTGGATCCAAGGACACCTTCTTCAGGACTGGCCGGACTACCACGTCCTTTAGAGGGGCAGGTACCCGGCTGTCCCTCAGAGAGGCGTTGATGACCTGCAGAATCCAGGCCCCGATTCTGTGTTTGGCTTCGTTCAGTAGCCATGATGGGCAAGGGTCCAATGAATAGGTGGTGGGACGTACTTGTTCAAGCACCTTGTCCACATCCTCAGGCCGCAATAACTGAAACTCATCCAACAATGTCGGACCAGATGGCAACATGGGCACCTCCCCTGAGGACTCTGAATCGCTAGTAGAGTCCAGCTCATGACGAATCTGAGTGATTTTCTCCTTCAAATGCTTTGCAAAGTTGTCACAGCGGGCCATCAAGCATGGTACGGGATCTTTCTTAGGGCCTGGATGTTCCAGCCCCTGTACCACCTGAAAGAGCTCCGCTGGATGGCACTGTGAGGAGGCAATGGAAGTGGAGAAGAATTTCTTCTTCGCTGCCCTCACCACCACAGCATAGGCCCGATAGTGGGCTCTTAAGTGTGTTCAGTCAGATTCATCCCATGATTTCCTCCACCTACACGCTAGACGTCTCCCAACCCACTTCATCGCACATAGTTCAGGTGTATACTAGGGAGATGAATGGGCTCTGCCAGGTGGGAGAGGATGTTTAGGAGCGATCGTGTCAATAGGTCTGGTCATTCCCCATTCCAAAGTTCAACCAGAGCATCGACAGGAGCACCAGCCTTATCAACTGGAAACTCCCCCAGAGCCTTCAGGAATCCATCCAGATCCATCCGGCTCCGAGGGTGGACCAATACAATAGGGTCTGCACCCTTACAGAGGGAAAGGCCGCTCTCGAGTTCAAACTTCACGAGGAAGTGATCTGACCATGACAAGGGAGTCAGACTCAAATTCCTCACGCTCAGATCCCCCTCTTCCTGCCCCGTCAAGAAAACCAGGTCTAGTGTGTGTCCATGTTCATGGGTCGAGCCTATGACATGTTGAGACAGCCCCATGGCCTTCATGGAGGCCATGAAGTCCTGAGCCGCCCCAGTCAGACCAGACTCAGCATGGAGATTGAAGTCCCCCAGGACCTGCATCCCTGGGATCCGCAACATCAGGTCTGAGACGATCTCTGTCAGCTCAGGCAGGGAGTCTGTTGGGCAGAAGGGTGCACGGTACACCAACAGAATCCCCAGTCTGTCTCAGTCGCCCAACACCAGATAGAGGCACTCTCAAGAGAACAGAAAGCCCTGTGAGGGAGATGGAGACTCGGTAAATTAAAGCGACCCCCCTCCCCTTCCCTCCCCTCCCCTCCTGGCATGGACGGTGCTGGACCAGATACCCGGGTGGGAAAGTTGAGAGAGGGAAACATCCCCACTCTCTCCCGCACAGGTCTCTGTTATGCAAGCCAGGTTGGCCCCCTCGTCCACAATTAGGTCGTGGATGAGGGATGTTTTGTTGTGGACCGACCTGGCATTAAGCAACAGCACTGCCAGGCCTGAAGGGAGGTTGATAAGCCTACCCAGAACCCTCTGGCTGGGGGAATAACCAGAAGGGGGAACAGGTGTCAACCATCTGTCCCTCCTTCTTCTAT